CCCACGTTCTCCAAATATTAAGTCACAAAATCTCTTTATCCAATGACGTCGAAACTACCAGATCCTTGGTGAAAGATATCCAAGATATCCGTAACGACCCAAATGTGATTATGTCCGCCATTGATCAAAAAGAACTAAATTTTCTCCTTGTAAAAGCAAATAATCAACTGCGTATGCAGGAAAACGAGATGGCCGATGCAAAAATAAACTATTTACAAACCTCTAACGACAAGCTCGCTAAACAATTTGAAGAGATTAAAAATTTCTGCGACATACTTCAATCCACTAGTGGTTTCAAAGAACAAAGAAAAAGAAAATTGCGCCAAATCCGTTAGACAAACGGATTCTGACTCCGATGAGGAGCCTTCCCTCAAAACCAGCAATCGATATAAACAATTAGAGAACCAAATAGACGACATGCATTTGGACAACGAAGATGAATCAACCACTCAGCTCACTGCCACCCCAAAAGATCAACCAAACAAAAGTGACACCATTCCAGGAAATAGAAAACCAAACTCCAGCCCCAAAACAAGCAGAATTGATAAAGTGCCCATTATTGTCGTAGATGACGTACCAAAAGCGGATGAATTCTTAAAAAACTAAAACAAGCAAACCGGAAAAGAGATAACTGGCACCTTAAAAGGACGCCGCCTTGAAATACAGCCTGCAGACTCTGACTCACATCGATTCGTTCGTAAAATAGTTGAAGAAACAATGCTTAAGGCCCACACCTACTTATTGCCCGAAAGATAAGTTTTAAAGTCATATAAGAGGCTACCCATCACCAGAGATCCCCAAACCATCACGCAAGAACTACTTGACAAAGGATTCAAGGTTAACTTTATTACACTATTAAGAAACAGAACAGAAAATAAACCAATGCCGCTTTTCTTAGTAAATATACTAAAATCAGAAGAAAATAAGGAAGTATTCAAAATCAAACGCATAGGTTATATGAACGTATCAATAGAATCATTACGCAAGTAACCTGGCCCTCCACAATGCTAAAGATGCCAGGGATTTTTTCACAGTTCCCTGCTCTACACTCGAGACTGGGTATGCGTCCGTTTCGGAGGCAATAATAAACCTATAGAATGCACCCATAGTCTCGACCAGCCAGCCATATGTTATCACTGCAAAGGTCCTCACCCAGCCAACTTCTCAAATTGTCCGGCCATGCCAAAAAACAAACAAGTTCAATTCCAATCCAGTGCTCCACCAGCAATCAATCCCTGGACTAACACAAGACAAGACTTTCCTTCGCTGACATCAAACAGTAACGAAAATCTCTCTCAAACCTCCATTCAAAACGAAAATTCAACAGAAGAAACTACCATCATCGCAGAATCCTCCCTGTCACACCTCTTCGACTTCTCCTTCGCTAAAAACATCTGGACAATAGGATACAGGACTCAAAAACATTAAAACCAAGAAATCACCTCTGATAAAATAATTTCAGTAGTCGAATCATTGAAAAAATAGGAAATCTTCTTTAATTCTAATAAATTCCAAGAATATGTGCAAGATAAAAATCTTCTTGGAACGCAAACGGTCTTTTACCATAAAAAAGATGAATTATTCAATCTGATAATTGAAATTGAACCTGACGTAATACTCATACAAGAGACTCACCTTAGACCAGCACTCAAAGTACTTTATGCTAATTATAACACCTACCGTACGGATCGTGAGACAGGAAGAGGCGGTGGCATCATCACATTTGCTAAAAGAAGCATAAAACACTCTCAAATTCCTAATCCCAGCACCACTTTCGAAAGTAACACAATAGAAATTGCAATAGAACATAAAAAATTCAAAATTTCTAATATATACATCCCACCAAATAATAATCTCAGCCCACAAGAATTGATTCACCTCCTTAATTCTAATACTTCTACCATTGTTGGAGGGGACTTCAACTCCAAACACCCCTGCTGGAACCGAGGATCTACTAACAAAATAGGAAATGACATATTTAAACTCATTCAATCAAATAATTATAACATTCATGCCCCAGACGAGCCCACCCATTACGGGTACAATAGCGCCACCACAATTGACTTTTTCATCTCAAATAAAATTACTAACAGATGCAATATCTCTGTAATTCCAGCCCTCTCTTCCGACCACAACCCCATTGTATTTAAAATCCCCATTAATAAATACCTCCCCTCACTTGACAGAAGTATAGGAGTTACAAAAATGGATCAAATACTCTGAAATTCTGAATAACTCCATACAAAGAAACCCATGCATCAACAACAAAGACGATTTGAACACGAAGTCTCAAAATTTACCAACTGCATCAACTCTGCTTTAAAGGAAGCCGCCAATACTTTTTATGTCAACAAGCCTTTCTTCCCCCTGCCTGCCGATATAAAAAAATAGTATTAAAGAGAAAAACCGGATCCGTAAAAGATGGCAAACCATCAGGGATCCACAACTCAAACGCGAACTAAACTCTATGCAAAAAGTAATCAACAGAAGAATCAAGAACTTCAGAAACCAAAAATGGACCAATTTCCTAAATAACCTAGCTATAGAGGACAATTCCCCATTTGACATTTTTAGCAAATTCAAGAAACCTTATAAACCTATCCCACCTATCCATGGACCTAGCGGAATTTCATATACAGAAGAAGATAAAACTTTATCTTTTGCGGACTATAAGGAAAATATATTCACTCTAATTCCACTCCGTACGACAATAACCATATTCAACGGGTTTAGCCTGGTGGTCAAAACAACTTAATACACCTGCTCCGTACAACTTCACTTTCCTGACTACCCCAGCAATCGTTGCCAACACCATCAGCTCCTCACAAACGAAGAAAGCCCCAGGGCACGATGGCATCTCGACTAAAGCACTGAAACATCTTCCGATCAACGCTCTTACCTGCCTAACTAAGATTATCAACAACATTATCAAATTCGCTCATTTTCCTAACTCATGAAGCAAGCTATAATAATTGTTTTTGCTAAACCGCAACAAAATCCAACCTTCCCACAGAACTATCGCCCTATCAGTTTACTTAGCCATCTGTCTACTTAAGCTACTTAGCCATCTGTTTACTTAGCCATCTGTCTACTTAAGTTACTGAGAAAATCCTACTTTTCCACATCCAAAAAATTCACCCTTCATGAATTTTCTCCCAGAAGAACAATAGGGTTTTCGTAATCATCATAGCACTTGCCACCAATTTCTTAGAGTTATCAACATTATCACTGAAGGCTACAACTGCAAGCATCCGACCGTGTGCTATATTCCTCGATATCGCGAAAGCTTTTTGACGGGTATGGCATCGAGGCCTTATTTACAAACTAACCACTCTCATTTTCCAGATCATTTTTATTCGCTTAATAGCCTCTTTTTTTAGCAAAGAACATTCAGAATCAAATCTACTGCTTACTCAACCACCAGAGTAATCAATGCTGGTGTCCCACAGGGGTCGCCACTTTGCCTTACCTTTTAATATTTATACACAAGATATCCCTAAAGATCCTTCTATTTCATTTGCATTCTTTGCCGATGACACACCGCCATACTTATTAAAGCCGGCAGCAGTTATGGCCGCAAGAACCAACTCCAAAAACTATTTCATAAAAACTGGAAAATGGCTCACCCCTTTGGAGGATTAAAATTAACACTGATAAAACTAAGGCAATAATTTCCGCAAAGGAAACATGAATACTATCCTTCACCCCCTGAATATTTGACGAAGAAATAGACTGGATTAGGAAACCAAAACCTTGGAGTCACCCTTGACCAAAAACTTACCTTCAGAACCCACTTCAGCTCCGCAGTACAAAAATTTTAAAATCATCACAGCTACTATGGCGACCTCTTCTTGGTAGAAAAAGCAACTTATCTACTACAAACAAATTAATTTTATATCGTCATACTTCGTCCAGCCCCTTTATGCAGCTCCGATCTGGGGACATGCAGCTAAAACCATATTAAACAATTACAAATTCTGAAAAATAAAATTTCTAAGAAGAAATATCAATGCTCCCTGGTATATTTCAAACATCTACATTCACAGAGACCTTCAATCGAACTTATTCAAGTATATTAAACGATTAGCTTTCAACTTCTTTTATTCAGTACAAACCCACAGTAATAGCCTTATTAACACTCTCAGACACTCCCCGCATCCCAGTGAAAAATATCGGTACCCATGAGAATTACAACCCTTATTGACTCATTCACACTAAACTGACTCTGCGGTTTACTACCCGCGGCTACATCTTATAACGACACTGAACATAACCCTCCCTTTTTTCGCCGCCGCTAGCACGGACCTGACTCTCTTTTTCCGCCTCCCACACTTCCTTCCACCCTACTCTTTCTCCTCCCATCTGATTCTTATCAGAAGTCGAGTAAAAAGATGTTTCTACATCTTGACACTCGAGAATAAAATACGATCTGTGTGTGTTGATGATATTCGCATGAATGGCGGAATTGTACCTCGTGACACGAATTTTAAATATCTAGGAGTCACGTTGGATGAACGATTAAATTTTAAACTCCATATCGAAAACATCAGAAATAAATCTTTTAAAGCTTTAATGGGTATTTATTCTATTCTTGGAAGAAAATCAAATGTTTCTATCAATACCAAGCTGATACAATGAAATTTAGTGTTAATACGTTGCAATATAATATTTGTCTTAGGTATATAGTACTCCATGAAGTTTATCTAAATTTCTTCTAATTTAAATTCGGTGCTTCCTTATTAAAGTTACAACTGTTTAAGCATTTGATATTCGCTTGTTATAGATCAGGTCAGCGAGTTTACAATGTTGGCGATTAAGCGAGGTGTATTACTTCTTATCCTGTTTAAGATGTATGATGTTAAAAACGCAAAATCGCAAAACGAAAACAATAGTTCTACAGGGACAAAGCCCCTTTGGACTAACAATATTTACATCTAAAAGAAAAATATTTTTGCTCAAAGTCTGTAAAATCAGGATGAATAAAAAAAAAGCTTTTTAGGGAAACCCTATTTTGATTTTGTGAAAAACATACTTTTTTTCTGGCAACATTGCTCTTATCACCGATTGGTTATTTCATTTAACGTTGGTATTTTGAAAGTGTGTATTTATTATTTACATTTTAGGTACCTCTTTATAATAATGTAATGCATTATTCTTTTACATAAGCTTTCAATTTTCTAATGTTTATTTTTCATAACGATTGGATTCTAAATATCAATTGCATGTGTAGTTTTCTGTGTTATATTTGAAAACTTGTAATATATATCTTTGATTGGCGACTTGTATGTAAGTTTTATAATTTTTAGATGTCTATTTATTATTTTAAATTTTCATAATGAAGTATAAAATGCGATATTGTTTTACGTCATTACTTTCCTTATATTTATATGAATATTCTATTGGCTCCACATAGGATGAACTTGCTCTTTTACTAGTGAAAAAGGATGTTGGAGTTTTTGGTGTGTCAATTGTCTAATTGCCTCATCTTAAAAGCTCTAAATAATTTCATTTTGTAATGTAAATGCCCTGTCTAAGATAATTATCTTAAAGGACTGAGGTAAAATTATTTAAATATGCTTTAGTTTGAATCAGAATTTAAGGTTAGGTGATAAATTGGCTTAATATATTTTAAATGTTAGAATGTACTTATAATATACATATATTTTTCAAAAGAGCATTTTAAGGGAGGATAAAACGTCTTACATTCAGGTTAATATGACGATTTGAATTTTATATATATTTATATTCTTTTAATGTCATTAAAATGAGAGCTTTAAACTTCCTTTAGAATCATTAAAATGAGTCGAATACCAAAAATTGGAACCACAGGATCTCTAAAAACAAAGAATTCTACTGACAATATGCTTCCACCACCAGCAGTTACGTCTCAGAGGACTACAAGCAGTGTCCTCAGAACTGGTGTTAAAAGGGCAGGAGATTCTCAGGTATGTGTGACTGAATTATTTTTTACAATCAATGTTTCAATGACTGATGAAAATTAAGTTGAAAATTTTTTTATCATGAATAAGTGCAATAATTATGTAAAACTGCTGCTAAAATTAAGATGGTTCGTAGTCCTTAAAAGTCCTTAGGTTTTTTGGAATTGATTTTTAGTCCTTAAAAGTCACTAATTTCGGCTACATTCAACAGGTCCTTAATTTTCATCATTTGAAATTTCTACCTGTTTTTACAATTGCCATTTTTAATGTGAATTAACATTTCGAACAAATATATTTGGTAATTCATTGACAAATATAGTTATCTTTTGAATGGGTGAATAGATTCATGGATTATAATTTGTGCTGATCTTTGGAATATGGTAACTGGTTGTTTGGCGACATTTTGGAGGCGATAAAGGTTACTACCTAGGACTTTGGTTATAATGTGAGAAGTACTCAGTTCCGATTACGCATTATTTTATGTGAGGGAAATGAGAGATCATGGGATATGTCATGTGACATTAATGGACGAATTACAGTTTATTACTCGGAAAAGGGGGGAAATCGGGGAAAAAATCTGGAAATTTTGTATTGAGCTTTATTCTGTGTTGTGTGAAACAGTTTTGGTTAATTTTTTGATCCCATGGCTCTAACTAAAGTGAATTCGAAATGGGTATTTAGTGGGATTGAAAGGGGTAGTAATAAGTGTTTTTTTTTTTTAAGGTTGTGCGAGATAGAAGTAAAGATGTTTTATTAAGTTATTTATTTTACTGGTACCTTGCTGTGAAACTATAAATATGATTTTAAAGATCCTGAAACAGGCGCACATACGCTTGCTTTTTGTTTTACCGGAGGAAATAAGAAAAAAGTTATCGGCCACATAATCAAAATTCTGAAGAAGTTTAGGTAAGTTAGTATTTTTAATTATTTGAGGATATTATTTTTATGCATTGTTCTAAATGTAAGGAGTAAATAAAATAATATGGTATTATTGGAAAATTCTTATTAGCAATGATTTTTATATTTTAAGTAGTGTTTTTGAATTTAATTATATTTTAATTAAATGATCGTTATTTTGTGAATTATATGTTTGTAGGAATTTGGTATACGTTTCAGTGGAAGTAAATGTGCATGGAAATAATTTAAATATTTGACACTAAGTATTTGTAATGTTTGTGGTATGAATTCATTGGTGACATTTATAATATAATTTAGAGGTAAAAGTTTTTGGATATTTTATTTATTTTATACGTGGAAATGTTCATCCTTGGAAAGGGTATATACTTTTTCGCGATCAGATAATTTCGTATATGTGCTTTTTACCGAGTTTAAAGATTCACAGATTTTTTTTTGCATTTTCGTGCAAATTTTTGTAATTTATGAGAAAATAGCAGTGTAGATGGATAAAGTTAAAAGTGTGTGCAATGCCATTTTTGTGCAATTCTGGGATGTTTTTTTAAGTAAAAATAAGTCAACGTGTAAATGGTTTATGTGTATGTGCTATTCTGAAAAACGCGCAAGGAGTTTGCGATTGTGCACTTTTTCCCAATTTTGCAGTTAATATTTGTCATGATTAAGCAGTTTTGTAACCTAAAATTTCTAGCATAAGTGTAATTCGGCTAGTAGATTGTTGGAAAAAGTGTTCAGTAAATAAAAAGAAAAGAAACATGTCTTTACTTCGTGAAGACAAAATGGCGGCGAAAAAAAAATAGAGGGTTGCTGTAGGAGAGTTGGTTGCCAAATTTTCGCCAAAAAATCGCCAGTTACCATAATCCAAAGATCAACCGAAAAAAACTACTGTTACGAAAAGCGAAATTTTTCTTACCATATATTATAAATTTGCAGTACTCTTGTTATCAGGACTGTATTCAGATATGTATGTATGGATGCATGTGTGTGTGTATACACAAATACATATATCCACATAGATACACTCATGCATACTCTGAATCCAGTCCTGATAACAGAAGAGTACCTTTGCTGAACCACTTTTAGCAGATATTTTTAGTCCAAAGGGACAATTTGCGTGAAGGACTATTAATTTCGTTTTGGTACTTTGTGTTGGTTCACTATAAATGTCAGTTCACTTTTCAAGTTGTTGCCACCAAATATTATTGACCTGTGTTATATTTAAAGAAATTAAATAATGAAGAATCTGCTTAAATATATGTATGTTTCTCACATTGGGATAAAGCAACGGGCCATCAAATAAGAGAGCCATCAAATAAGAGAGCCATCAAATTTTGAATAACGAAATCTTCCATCAAATATGGGCATCTGGAAGCCCAAATTTGGAATTTGAAATTTGTTTTATTATCAATATCATATTTTGTAACACTTAAATGAATTTTTGATTAACAGACTCAACGATTGCAAAGTGAGCAATGGCAACACTCTTAGGAAAAAAAATGTTTTTATCTCCAGTGTGCGAGACTGTGTATCGGAAATTCTAAAACTTTGCTCATTTAAAAATTATTTTGCAATATTGCTGTTTAATTGAATTTTATGGTTTAAGTGCAAAGAACATGATATTTAATAAATAAATGTAGCACACAAAACATTTAAAAAATGTCTATTTGGGCATAATGTAATTCAGATTTTTTTCATTTTGTTTTATGATATTGTTTTCCCTTATTTTGTGTACTGACTTAGATCAACATTTCTTAATTTTTTAATGTCATTCTTATTATCGGAGATACACTTAATATTAGGCTTTATAGATGAAAGTTGAATTCTCATGTCATCTTTGGCCTAAAGTGTGTTGTAAATATATTTTGTCAGTATACACAGCTGAGAGCCCTGTTCCATGTAGTTGCAAATAATAAAAGTACTATTGTAGCCTTTTTGATAAGAATTCCACTAATGTCATTAATGTAAATTTTCTTGCAACAATGAATCAGATGCCATATCAATAAAAGTTTTGTATTCTTCTACTGACATGGTTGAAGGTCGGCATTTACAATAAATGGATTTTTAATTCACAGTTTATTTTGATATTTAATCTGCTGTTCATTTGGGAAATACTGGTTCAAAGCTTCGTGTGAATAATTTTTGTAATAAATGTCATCCTTATTTCAACTCCTTTTTCTACTGAAAACCTTTTATTGTTGGGAAGCAATGAAAGTCATTGGAGCTTGCATAAATTTTCAAAATTCTATCTCTTTCTTCAAAGGAAGAATTTTTTCATGAGCAGTTAATACCTTTACTTGTTCGCCCTGCAGTTAACCCTTTAAATTTAAATGAGATGTTCATTGATCTTTGTAAAACTGTCGCTTAAATAGACAATTTAAAACAGCCAATGTCTATCAAATTGACTTTTCAATTTAAAATTATGTTCTAAAAGAAAAGCGTATACCTTGTCCCTTAGTTAAAAAATACAGATCAGTATCTTTCCTCGAGATAACCATATAACTTCAATATATGAAAGAAGAGCTGTATGTACACTTCCCATGTGCTTGCATAGTTTTTAAATAAACAACTATTTAGTGGCTGAGATTTATACAGATAATGACTTTGGCCACCTCATCAATCTCATAATTGGGAATAAATTTTCTGTAAGAAGTGCCTGCCTATACATCAAATAGTAGTTTTAGGTTTGGGTTATAATTTTAATAAGCTGTACAGCCTCATTAGTTATGGCACTCATGGTCTTTACTCCATCTGTACAAATATCAGTGCGATTTCCCCATGGTACCTGTGTGTTTAATCGTGAAAAAATAAATGTTTATCCGTTATCATGGTTCAGTTTCCCTATAATTTACATTATGGTCCCTGACATGTGTTTTTTGCTTCTAATTTTATGGAAGCGTATCCGTGATGTAATGTTATTGTAATTGGTAAATTTTATTAGTGAGCAAAACAGTAAAATAAAAAAATGTTCGATCAATTAGTATTTTATAAGACTTGCATCAACAAGTTACTGTTATCCCAGCTATTTGCAGCACCCTTCTTTATTCAAAGATATGGGATTTCCCTGTGTTTTTAAAAGTGGAGGAATTTCCTGTGTTTTAGATCTGTGGGATTCCCTATGTGTAGTAATCAAGGATAAGGAAATGAGCTGGAAAATCACCAAAAGTGGGATTCTGGATGGCTTCCCACCATGGCTGGTGTAAAATACCAAAACTTGTCTCCGCAGTCCTGTCACAACCACTGCTTTTTCTTTTCATGTATATATAGAAAGGGTGTCTGCTCATTTTTAGAATTATTTAGATGAAGAATTTGAACAAAGCATTTGTTTTGGAATAAAAATTTCTTTCAACAGCTTATTACTTGAAATAAGAAATATCATCTGCTACTTTTAAATTTATTCTTCTTTCAAAATATTGCATGTAAACAAGCTGAGGATTGAAGGATATGTTTTTGCTCTTTCCAAAGAGAAATATTCCTAATCCGTAATTTGAAAACACTGTGAAATGCATGCTGTTAAAAAGCCTAAGCAAAAAATAACAGGGTTGCCACCTTACCTGGAATACCGAGAAAACGAGAAAAAGTCAGGGAATTTGAAAATTGACCTGGAAAGGTCAGGGAATACCTTTACCTATTTCATGCAGCAATCCCAAAAATAAGCGAGTTAAGCTCCGACATTGGAAGCAATCACTTTCTTGGAGAATTATGTATCACGTGAGTGTCATTCTGGCAGCTGGCATAGATGCACTTCTCACAGCTCCTATAGATTGTCTTTTAGAAAGGCAAAGCAAGTTTCCAGCAACTTCGGTTTCCAGTAACCTTGAGAATCGAGAGACTCGCATGGGCATGTACAGTGCATGTTGAACTAAAGAAAATATGTATTCTCATATAAAAACAAAATCGGTTTAATCCCAGTATACGGTACCATGGAGGTTAGAATAGCCTCCATGTATTTTTTCTAACCTCCATGTATGGTATACACGGGATTTGGCGACGTTATGATGAGCAGTAAACAGTTCATTTTGATGTTGGCGACAATTTTCAAAATCATGCCAAGACCGTAGCATATACTAGGATTTTACTGCAAAATCTTTTTAACTCTTTTTTTTTTTTTGATGAATGCCTTTATTGTCATTTTGCAGTAAAATAAAAAAAAAAAAAAAAAGGCTAACCATTTAATACAATCCACAAAATATTGTTGATTATTCTAATTCAATTTTTAAATAATTATCTTTATTTTAATATTATTTGTATCATTTAATGTTGCTTCTTCCCTCTAAATTTATTTATTATTAGTAAATAATACTTTCAAATTTCGGAAAATTTTCTCTGGCATAATCCTGAAACTAATTCCAGCTGTATGATGACATACCATTACGAAATTTAATGCAAATATTTTTTTGCTTATGTATGCTGCTAAATAAATATAAAATACCTGAATTTATTTTAAAATATCATTAAATAGATTTCTTTCTTTTATTTAGCTGCAAAATGTCTGCAAAAAAAGACATTTTTTAATCTAGATTGGGCAAAATCTAATCTCAATCTTCAGTGGAGAGAACTTCTATTATAATTATAATAGTAATGCTTGCTTAGTCATATGTATATATATAAGTCATGTAATTGGCATTATTATTTTTTTTTTTTAAGTAGTACCATAATTAATTTACCTCTTAGCACAGCTAACATGCATTACACGGATAGACAGGAATTTTCTTAAAACATGCCTGGAAAAGTCAGGGAATTTCATTCTGTTGTTTGAGTGGCAACCCTGAAATAAGCAGTCAGAAAGGAAACCATCAATTATTGCTTCTACATAGATAGAAGAATCCAAGCGAATGCCTGAAAAAAAGGTGTGTGCTGTTTACGATGTTTCTAAAGTTAAATCTTTGGTAACAAGAGAAAATCCATGGATGCAGAAATCAATCGCAAAGTCTTTAATAACAACTTTAGGAACAATAAGTAAAATAATAAACCAACATTTACATTTTAAGGAAGCTAAAAATCATAATGTTCACAAGTTTACCAAGGCATGTGACTTAACATGAACAATTTGTATAACCCTGTATGAAAACTGTTTAGCAGAGATAAATTGAATGTTTTGTAAATTTTCATGAAGCATGATTTTGCTTAAACGACTGCAACGAAAAGGTCTCTTTATAATTGAAAATGAAGAGGAAAGAAACGTACAAACTTAGTCCACCAATTCAAAGAAAGTTCAGTCAGGGGTTATGGTTGTTGCATGTTTCTCATACAGTGGGAATTAAAAATAAGAAGAATGGGAAAAAAATTTTAATCAACTCATCGTACTACCATAGAAAGTTTTGCATTCACTATTTGCAGAACTTCCGTTTCTTCATCTCAATGGCTTTGTAGGGTGAAACATATCACTGCATTCCTTGGAAAAAAATAAAATACTAGTATGGGTATTGCATATATACCTTTTCAATGTATTCCTGCAGTCTTCTGATATTGCACCTATTGGTTATTTCACCTTTGGTCTCTTGAAAAGGGCTTTTCCTACATTCAAACCCACCCTGATTGATGGGCTATAGTAAGTAGTGGAAGAGGAAGGGAAATCAGTACCCCCGGAAATTTCAGGAACATCCCTTCTATCATGGAAATCACAACGCAGGCTTAAAGTCTCCCCCTCCCTCCAAAAAAGGCTATCAGATTGAACATTTGAAAAGTATTCTTTACATTTTAAACATTAATTAGCAGTCCTGAAACCATTCGAAGAATGTGAAAACACCCTCTGTACTTTTTCTGCTTTTATCCACGTTTTCTGAATTGCCAACTTACACAGAACCATTCAATTTTCACTCGAAAATCAAAATTAGACTTATTTTTTGTTTTCTTTTTTAAGTAAACTTCAAAGGTGGGAATTTTTTATGTTGCTTCACCTGATCATAATGAATAGTACTAGCTGAAAAACTGTACAGTCAAAAGTCGTTAATCCGGAATGATCTATAATCGGGACCTCAAAGCTACAAACTTTCTGCGCATGCATCAATGCATAAAGCGTTGACGCATGCGCGTAATACCTTTACGCATGCGCATAATACGTTTATGCATGCGTGTTTAATGTATAACGGGTGGTATAAGCTAAGCTAAAATTGTCTAATTATCTTTTCAGTTAATGTTGCAGATTGCGTTGTACCTTAATCTTAGAATTGGATTTGGCTTATTATTTTTTGCAGACTGTTAGAGCAATTTTATAAAAGTAAGCTTTAACTTTCGATTATGTCAAAAAGACTTTCCGATTCTGTAACTGCCAAAGGATATCTACAAAGCAAAAGCACGTTTCGATGTCCATCAATCAAAAAGTGGAATTGCTGCAAAAAATGGATAACGGCATATCCTTTGTTTCTCTAACCATTCCGAAATCTGTTTATCACTTTCACACTGCTCTGCAGGAGAGGGGAATGTCGCAGCGCGCAATGAACTGGAAGTTGATCTGTCAGCACTATCCTTATATTCAGGGGCAGATGTTTTTATTTTATTCGGCTTATAATTCATTACTAAATGTAGCATTTCATCTTGATGTACTCTGTCTTTGATATGATTTAAGTCAAATTCATTATAAATATCACGAATACACATCAAATAGTTTTCTGGTTGCAATTTTCTAATTTCGACTATGCGTAATGTATGCTGTACGCATGCGCGCTTTGAAAGAAATGTTTAATAAAGTAAACAAATAAATATTAAGCTTTTTTTGTAAATTTTGATACCCTTTAGATCATAATTGTTCTTTATTTCATAAATTACGGTTTTATATTTTTAATTTTATAATTTCTGCATGCCATCTTACCAGATTTAAACTGATGATCTATAATCCGGAAATCAATAATCCGGAATCGCCGAAGTCCCGACAAGTCCGGATTAGAGACTTTTGACTGTATTTAAATTATAGTCTGTACAGTGTCTGCAGGACCAAAATTTTTGCTTCCAATACCTCTCTAAATTCTAAATATTTACTGCCCCTTAATTTTGTAATCCAGTACCTTTCCTAATTGTAGAGATTTTCCTTCCCCTTAATTTTGTTGCTTGGTGCTTCTAAAAATTTTGCCTCCCTTAAATTCTAATGCCCGATGCGCTAACACCAGCTCTGGCACTGGACCTGGCTTATCTAAATAACAAATCAGGTATTCTCAATTCAGATAGCATTAAATGCAATCTTCTAGCATCTGGGTATAATTTACAAAACCTTTTTTTTTATCATATCGAAAGAAATTTGTGTTAAATTTCTTCTTATCAACACTGTCACGATTTTTCAGTGGAAGTCTGCAGTCACCTTAGCTGAAGTCTGCAGTCATCATCACCATAATGTCAACATAAAAGGTTACCATGTTCTTTGGTATTCAGTTCCTAATATTTAAAAAAAAAATGATTTATTGTGTGAGTCGTTTCTTAAGCTGCCATGTGTTGATAGTCATGCAGTGGTGAAAGCAAGAAATAATAAATGATTTGCCAGATTTTGCCACCAGGGATATATGTTTAGTAGGAACAAAATCAATGATGTTTCAATTTGAGATGTATGGTCAATCAAAATGGTGGGTATGGAGCCAAATTATCGATCAATACAGGTTTATGCTAATAAATTATTGTTTCATCAGTATTTTGTTTAGTGCTGAAGGTGAAATTAAGAATCGGTACTCTCCACATGTTTTATTATGAAAAAATACCAAATGCACAAACAGAAAGCACTTAAAAAAAAAAAAAAAAAGAAAAGAAAAAAAAAAAAAAAAGATAAAAAGAAAAAAAAAAGAAAAGAAAAGATTGCTAGTGATCCAGACAGAGGTCCAAATTTTAGATCATTCCAGATATTGGACATCCGTATTTCGGACTTTGGACTGTATTAGCAAATTTATCCCCTTTAGCCAGTAAGTACCTCATTCTTTTTCTACTTTCTTCTGCCGTACTGGGTAAAACATGTTCTTTCCATAAGAAACCTAACCCTTGTTTGAAGGCTTCAAAGCTATATGCTCTATCTGTAACTTTTATTTGTTTATTATTTAACTAACTAAAGGACTATCTGTTCCTTCAAACTTCTGTTGGAATGATTGTCTCAGTTTTGGCAGAATCTCCACCAACATTTATGGTTGATGGGAAAGTACATAAGTATCTTCTTTTTATAAGTAATTGGATGATGTATAATATTTTCCTTTAAATATAGTTTAAATGCTTTGTTTTAGTCATTCATTAAATTAAGGATGTTGTTAATTGAATGTTTTTTCTATGTTAAAAATATCAACATATTTATTACTTATGATGTTTCAATTTAAAATTTCAGGCTGGTTTATCAGAAAAGAGGCAAAAAACTAATGTTGAGGCACCAGTAAAGAGAAATGGCTTCGGATCTACTGTTCGCTCTCATACGGTTGATAAAATTGCTACCTTTTCTGATAAAAGCAAGCGAGGTAAGATTTGTTTTTTAACCATAAAAACCATCCTGATATGGCTGGATTGCAAAGCTAAACTTTATTAATATTTGAAAGGCTAACATTTTAACCACAGATATTCAGACTGAAAAATAGGACATGTATTGCAAATAGTGAGGACAGAAAAATAGAATAAATATAGTTTAAATCCCAATTTAATGATTGTCAAGGGATTAGAAAAATTATTATTAACTCAAGGATACGTCTTAATGCAATTTGAAACATGATATTTATTACAGAAAATTTTTTTTGTTGTTTTAAAACTATCTATTATGTTGTAAGTACACTCTTAAAAGAATTATTTGAGGGAAAAAATTAATACAATGATGCTTTGTATTACACTTTAAACGCCATTAACCGTTATCTTATCCTTAATACGTAGGCAAAGTCGTCAACTCTCCTGATTTCGAACCTGATTTACAACATTCTCCTGACCTCCTTGTATTCTTAAAATTTCTCATAATTTTTGTGTAGTTTGGCTTCATACTTCGTTATTTGTATCCAAAAAAGTGATTTTTAGTGAAAGTGCTCGGTTTTTCTCTAGATTAGATATAAAAGAAAACCAAAGTTGTTCCATTAGTCGGACATTATGGCACTCTTCTGCTTTGTGTGCTAGTTATGTGTCTGAAAATTGTTCCAGTTCTCCAATGAGCATCGAGTGGAGCTGTGGATCATTTGCATATATTAATAAGCACAAAACAAGATAGAGGTTGTTATTTTGTTCATCTCATCATTGATTCGCATTGCTCAGAACGCTATGAGGCTCACATGCTTTTGAGAGATAGTTTAAGAAATTCCAATCTTGTGTCTGCAAAAAGGTAAAATACTCATGTACTTCTCAAAAATCATACACAGGTGACTTTCCTTGTGTTATTTTGTCAAGTAAATGTAATGCATTTGCATTACAATTTTTCAATTTCGTACGGTGGAAAGGCCAATTATCTTAAATATGTGTACATGCTAAAGCACAAAAACATAAGTTGTACTGAAAAAAAATAATAATAATAATAATAATAATAATTTTTGTAAACAACTTTAAATAAATTAAATTTCCACTGACTGCATCACATGCTACAGCTTTATTTAGAAAAATGTTTCCGATAATGAAATTGCTCAAAAATAATCAAGTGCAAGGACAAAAATGCTGCAATTGTTAAAAAGAAATGTGTATGAAAAATAAATCATTCGTCACTGATTGCATTAAAACAGCTCCATTCTGTCTTTATGGATGGAAGCAATATTGCCAATGCAAAATTATATCCAACTGTTATTTCTTTTTTTAATCCAGAGTCTTTAGAAATAGAGTGCAGTTTACTTTCTGTCCCCACTTTAGGAGATTCAAGAGGCTTTAATTTAGCTCAGCTATTTATTCAAAGTTTAAAAGAAAATGCAATTCCTCTGGATAATTGTTTAATACTTGGTGCCAATAATGCACCAGTAATAGTAGGCTTAAAGGCTGGTGTTGCAGGCATCTCAAAAAAAAAGAAAATTTCAATTTGCACATTATTAAATTTAGCAGCTGGAAAAGGAGTAGCTTCTTTACCAATAAGTGTGGAATGTTACATTACTGGTGAAATTTATTATTATCTTGAAAAGAGTTCCAAAAGGCAGGATAAATTAAAACAATTCTGACAGCTGCATAATACTGAAATAAGAACAATTTTGGAAATATATATGTACACCCAGTCCAAAAGGGAAAAAAAATGGGGCAGTTGTTTATCTTCTGTTCTACTGAGCTGATTGACCAAATTCAACTTACATTTTTCATGTCTTGAAGGTGCGACTTAGAATATATATCAGATTTATACATAGCATTATTCTAAACTAGGTATTTTGAAACAAAATCAAATTCTTTCTTAAATACATACCAATATTTTCCCATATTTATATCTTATGCCAAAGTGCCAAGTTTCGTAAAAGATTAGATCTCAAAATTTTATGTCTCTAGTGTTAACTGAATTTGGTATATATTTATTATTGTCTTTTTTTGTTTGTTTAATTAAACCTACTTGATCCTTTGAGAATTCAAAATTTAGGTTCAATACAAATACAATTTGCATGTTTTTTATGATTTATTTTTTAAATTATAAATTTTTTGAAAGAATTTTGAGCTATAAAATTTTTGCCGTCATCTTAAAGTAGATGTATTTCTAGGCATGCCTGCCAAAAATTAGTTTTTATATTTAAACCGTACATTTCCAAATAAACTTTTATTCAGGATCATTTATGGGGAATTTCTTTATTTTCATTTTTATTAATAAAACATGAAGAGCTATTTTTAAAATTTATAAAGAGTTTAAAGACTTTTTTTTCTTTCATAATTATTTAATAAGTAATTTTAATTTGAGTAAATTGAGTAAATTTCTTCCTTCGCTATTTATTGTATGCTATTTTACTTAACTTCATTTTCTAATTTTGCTGATTACAAAATTATGTATGATATAGGCATTCAATACTTCTGAGTATAACAAACGATACGGCAAAAATATCAATAAAACATGCCGTCTTCTACTTTAGAAATGCTTAATACTGCTCTATCTAATTATTCATAATTTGTAGCTTTACCTATTTATTTATTTTTATTTCCTTCTCTGATGATGTTCTGTAGAACTCCAGCAGTTATAATTTTAGAAATGAAGTCTTGGCTTTAATATTAGACCAAATATAGAGCTTGTCACTTAGAAAATAAAGAAGAGATCTTCAATAAAATGAGGAAAAGAAAATATCTGTAAAACTTCATAAAGATACAGTAATATTAAATCAATTGATAAATTTTATACATACATTCTTCTAACAAGAGCTGCCCTTAGATGACTTGATCAATCTGCTGAATTCACAAAGCTAAAATTAGATAAAATTGGATAAAAAGAAGGAAGTGCAGCACGATTTAGCGTGAATATTTGTTACTGCTTAGAATGATTTTATAAATTGCAGTAAAAAACCTATGAATACCATACAAAGGAAATAGGGATTTTTCACTTTGCTTCATTCAAAAAGTTGCAAAAAGAAAAGGTATTATGTCCTCCCCCCCCAAAAAAAATGATTCAAACAGTAAGTACTTTTAAACAACAGAAATTCCCTTTTTTCTAATTCTAGTTTCTGAAACTTTTATGAAATATATTTGATAATAGCCTTGTGAATTATTTGAGTTTAATATTCTCTGTCTTATTCTCTAATGAGTGAAAATATACTTGCATGCAAATTTATACCATGTATAATGCAAAGTCCGAAATCTGGACGTCCATTATCCGGAATGATCTAAAATACGAACCTCAAAACCACCACCAACGTTTTCTCGCAGGTTTTACGCATGCGCATTTGATTTCCCCCTTGCATAATAAAACATCTGGAGAGTCCCGATTCTTAATTTCACTTCGACACTAAATAAAATACCTTGTTATTGAAGAAACAATAATTTTAGCATAAATTTGTATGATCAGTAATTTGGCTCCATTGCTGCATATCTGCTTGCCATACATCTCAAAATGAAACATTCCTCATAGATACATCGTTGATTTAATACCAACCTGGTGAATCATTATTTATTATACATTCCTTTCATCACGGCAAGTTTATCAATGCATGACAACTGAACAGAAGTACCGATTTCATGCCACCATGTAATCACTATCATATTTATATGATAGGTCAGACACACTATCCAGAAAATTCATACTATGGTTCACAAATAAATGTTCAAAACCTTCTTTTCCTAAATCCTTGTAAGATTTCCAGCCATCCGAAAAAATAGTTGTACAAGGCTCAGTCCACTCTTTAATACACTGCATCAGTGTTTCCTTACTTCTATCATGCACAGCCACTAAAAATAATCTCCCAGACCCTCTTGCAACCACTTCTCTCATTGCAACATACACCATTTCAAAACATGCACGACACGAACCAACGAACAATTAAAGCAATTCACCAAAGGAGTATTCAACGTAAAAAGGGTTGCCAAAAACCAGTGCTGAATACATATCACTACATTTTCATTTAAATGACCACAACTGCCCGAAATAGCTGAAATTATGATGTTGTTTTTTCCCTCCCCCTAAGGTATGCAGTAGCAGCTGCAGTTTCTTCAAATGCATATTAATTTATTTCACACAGCTTGTCCTAAAAGTTTTTTTTTTGGGGGGGGGATTCTAATCTTTTTTTGTTAGGAAGTAGAAAGGATGTCATTTTAAATCTTCACAGCTCTTTGTGCATTAATGGATGGGGAGGGGAGGAAACTGCTGTGATACTCAAGACATTTCGTGTACTTCGGTATTTCAAGCAATACAGGTTAGCAAAGGCTTCAGTTTTAAAACAATTAAATAATTGTTCATTCATCCTTGCTATATAGCAGTTTTATTTTGTTATTTTAGACCTTGGGTAACCTTATTTTACAGTATCCTCCAACGTTATTTTCATCTGAATTCCTAAATCTAGGCTTTTCGATTCATTCATTTTCTCAGTTAATTGTTCATATGAAATGCAAATTATTTCATTTTTTTCCTCTCACTGAATATCATTTGTTAAGTTCATTTAAATTTTGGTTAGTAATTTAGTAGTTAACTGCTTGCAATGCATCATTTTTTTTTTTTTTTTTCAGAATTTCGAGCACACTGTCAACTTTTTTAAATTAGAGCTCATCTGTTGATTAATTCAGATCCTAATGATCTCAAGTAATCAGTACCATGAAGAAAATATAACTAATAATCCCTTAAAATCAGGCTGGGTCGCAAATATTACTAAACAGAGAGTATTACCAATGCAAAATATAACAAACTCTGAAAACCTAACTGATTTGTATATAAAAAAAATATCACATTTTAATCTGTAATAAAATGCTATACTCATCTATTGGCAAGCTCAGAATACTGAATCATATGCTTCAATTCAATACCTGAAGAGTGGCTTCATTCAAGTATGCTGTGTGCGTTTGCACACAGCATACCTGAATGACTTTTGGGGTTCATTCAAGTAGAGAAACAAGA